AAACTATTTTTCTTTCAGTAACTTCTAAAACTGCCAGTTTTGTTTTGTGGAATTCTGAGTAGGGATGGTGGCTTGACCATGTAGGCAGGTCGGAGCTGAGGGAGGTCACGATCGAGTCTTGAGGTATCTCGGAAAGTTCCACAGTAAATGTAAACATGCTTTATGGATATCTCATCCAAGAAATTTGAAAAGTACATCAGCATATCAGTCACGTAAGGGATTGGAAGTACAGCTTACCTGTTGCAGTGGTTGGGATGAATGGCAGTAGCACCAGGAAGCACACATCCAGTAGCTCACGGTATTCCTTCCTATCCGTTGAGCCTGGTTTATTAACCAGTTACCTACACCTGAACACCCCCATACTTACCGCCCTTGCTTTTGTACTGGTTGGGGTGGAGGTCTTAAGTTGAGGATGTTGCAGTTTTCCCTTTATTCAGCGTCCGAGTTTGGTGTGTTCACTCGCCCTTGACCTCTACAAATTATTTGACCTTCATCTTGCCTTGAAGTGGCTGCGCTGTCAAGACTGAAAGATAATTTGGAGTTGCAGTTGCACATTTGGCGTTTCATCGATGCCGGCACAGTCCTGCTAAGCTGTGTATGGGGGCTACCTGTGCTATTAGCTTTTCCTGCTGGCAACTGATTGCCTTAAGGGTATTAATGTATTTCCCTTTGGATGTTAGGATTGATAAAGCAGGCAAGTCTTAACAATGCGTTCTGTACGTCCTGTTCACTTCTTGTTCTTTTTGTGCAAGACCATAACATTTTTCTGTACGTAACACTTAAGTTTCCCACTGGAGTAAGATTTTTTTTAAAGTACTTAAATATTTTTTTAAAATAAAGTTTAAATGCCAAAATAAACTGGCATAGTGCTGATGTGTCAGAAAAAGCTGTAGAAAGCTTGTTAGTAGTAGCGTACTTTAACTGAGATAACTTTGTTAGGATTGATAGCAAGACATATTTCTGCTTCCAGATCTGTGCTATTAAAGCTGTGTGATTATGGGATAATTGAGCTTTTAATGGGGAATGAGTTACAACTTGAATCAGAAAAAATGCTGCCATTACATACTATATAAGCACATCTAAGAATATTGACTTAGTCTTCAATTTTTTTAAGTTGCTGTTCTTATGAATAACTTTGTCCAACTTTCTTTTTTTTGGGGGTGGGGGTAGTGCCAGAACAAACAAAGACAAGTGTAAGCCAGCCTCAGCCTGTCACCTCTAACGGCACTTCCACAGTAACCAGCACTAATAATAATGCCAAGCGGGCCACAGCCAACAGTCAGCAGCAGCAGACCTTGCCTCGATACCCTCCTCGTGAAGTACCACCGCGATTTCGACACCAGGAACAGAAACAGCTTCTGAAACGAGGTCAGCAGTTACCAGTTATAGCTGCAAACCTGGGATCTACTCCTAAAGTATTAAACGGCCAGTCAGGAGGCAGCACTGTCACAAATAAACAGCCAGTGACCAACGGAGAAGTGCCGAACAGCAGCAAAAAACAGCCAGGTGAGGGGGACGTACCTTGTTTTCCTTTAACTAAAATCGAATAGTTTAAATTCAATTTTTCAGTTAAATATTTGACCTAATATTATTTAAACTTTAAATGTAAGCTGTAGCATGATGAGAGATTTTTCCTGTGTCGTAGCTTAATATTACAGGATGGTTTCAGCCATCTTTGTGCAAGTTTCATACTGAAACTTAAGACATCTTAGTTGCTCGTTGTTGCCAGTGGTGTACAGTAGACGTGTCTGTTTCTGAACAGATGTTGAAGCCAATACGACCACTGCTATGTTCTGAATTTCCAGTCTTTATCCTAACAATTGATCCAAGCACGGTCATGGTACGAAGCATCTTTTTTGCATCCAGTTTTGATACACAGATCTCACAAGGAAGGGTCTTTCAGACAGTTCCCAGAGCGTTCTGAACAGCGTCTCAAGACTTTCTTTTCTTCTTCATATCTAGAGATATAGATAGGGTACAACTTGTTTAGAATATCAGAATTGCTTTTTGTTGTTAGGTCAGAGTTTTTCTTTGTTCATCTACCTGAAGCTAGGTTGTCTTACAAAATGGATCGACCTTTACCTTTATTACTATTAGTATTTAAGTAAAGTTATCCTTTATTAGTTTGGCTTGTTATGCATCCTCTTCAAATACCCTTTTAAGAGTAGTAAACTTACCTGTTACACGTGCATAATTTGCTGTTCAGTGAATGTACTACCAATTTTTTGGGGACAATAAGGGCAGTCTATTTTTGGCTGAAAAAAAGTAACTTTCTTTGTAGGGATCTACAGATCCCTGTAGATTTTCAAAGGGACTTGGTATTAATGCATGCTAACGCTTAATATGTTGGACAAATACTTTCTTATTTTTATACTTGTATTTATTTTTTGACGTGCACATAGCAGTGATGTGCGCTATCTCACAGATAGTTTCTTCTGAAACTTTACTGAATTCCCAGTGTTTCTCAAAATAAGTGTTTTATACACTACAAAGGATGTGACTCCTAGCCCCTTCAGTTACAGAAAAGATTTCTGGAAAACAGCCTTGATCTTTCAAGTTTTGGTTAAATTTTGAGCTGTTGTGATTACTGAATCTTGAAGAAGCAGTATTTAAAATGAAAGTAAACAATCAAAGCATTGGAAGCACTTTATCCACGTGCCCCCTGAGTCATGTTTCTGATATTACTTTCCAGTATTATTTTTGTAACGTACTGATAGAACTCTTAAAAATCACTTCTTGGAATGGTAAAGCAGTAAATTTTTTTTTTCACTTCACCTGTATAATTTTGTTCCTGTCTATAGTCAGGTTTAAAGTAACCTTTCATATACTTGCTTGCTCCTAAGGTGAAACTTTTTCTCCAGCGTATATCCTCTACTGGTCAAATTGTGTGGTAGCAAGTAGTGATTTAAATAAAAATTCACATGTAAACTAATCTAAGTAGTATTACTCTTTATACAACCTATTAAACCTCCTGATTGTATCTATCTAGAGGGTTTTTTGAATATGCTGTCCTTCATTTCACTTTTTGTGAATGCCAGCCCAATATTTAATTAGTTGGGTTCCCATTTGTATATTGCATTGTTCTCAGTTTTGCTCAATTTTGCTTGAATTTGTGCTGGTGTGGCTGGACAACCTTTAGGCTGGGAGATGTCAACGTGTCCCTCTGCGGTGCTGCCACAACGCTATACTGAGTGTCTGAGGCAGCTGCTTTGCTGGGAGTAGTTCTGTGGTTTGAATAATACGTTAATTATTAGAATAATATATCTACACGTCCAGCTGGTAACTAAAAGGTTCTGAGAGCCTTTAGGGGAGAGAAAGGCTGGCCAAATCACTTTCCCATCTTAAGAAAATGTCTGTTTTGTCTGTAGCGTCCTGTCAGTCACTGTACTGTCAGGTGTCTGTTAGCTGTGTGCCGTGCTCGGGGCGTTCCTGGGTGTGCAAGGTCAGAACCGGCCAGAACGACAAGTGGGGTTGGGAGGCCAGGGTCTCGTTTCTTGGTGCCGTGTATCTGTACGCTTGAAAGATCTCTTTCCTCTAGTATAACCAGAAAAAATGTCTGGTTTGGATGTTTTGTCATGTTCTTTGAGAAATGTAGGTAAGAAGTTAATGTAAAGGAAAATAAGTTTTTCAGTGCTGGATTTTTGTAATGACTTCAAAAATCTTGTCTAACGAATTGCCTGTGAGTTAATGCGGAGGTGGCCATAGTCCAGCAGCACGCAAGAGTGACTTAATGTCTTTTGACACCTTTGTATCTGAAAGGAAGTACTACTGTCATTTGCCTGTCTCAGTCTTACTCAGTCTCCCTAGTTCCTCTTTTAGCCTTCAATGACAACTTCTAGGTACTCTCCTTGTTATCTCTGAAATTAAAAATCTCATGAAATTTGACATATCTGTAGAACCCTTCCTATTGAAAGAATATCCATGTACAGGCCATTTGGGTTAACAAATTTTATACCCTAATGGAATGTCTTTGGAGATTGTTAAGTTCTTGACTTTTTTTAAGCATTACCTGTATTTTAGGGCTAAAAGAAAAACTGTAGCTTGAAATGTTGAAGTCAAAATTGCTGGAGTCGGTAATGGCTCCAGTTGTTTTATCTGTCATTCCCTGACAGACCCCAGGGTAGGCGCTCTCCCCAGTTCCAGCTGTGGTTATAATGGTTTGGTAGGTGCTTTGTAAAAAGCCAGGGAACACAAGTACTGCTAAATTTAAATTTTTCCTTTAACTGCCCTGGCCACAGTAAGTTTTTAAGTCTTTGGTACTGGAGAATTTTTTAATTACATCAGTGGTCAAAAAATATATCTCTTTACTTGTGCTTTGCGTGGACAATCATCTTCTCTTTTGAAAATTAACGCGCTTTGTTTAGAAGTAAAGCTTAAGAAGGGATAGTCCTGTGTTTTTAGGACATTTGGCATATCTTTTTAATAAAGACACATAAGTGAAGCTCATGCCATGTAGTACTTCTGAAACAGATAGTCTTGTACCAAGATGGTTATTTTAAGAAATCTGCATAAGTAGCTCTTTATCAGAACATTTTCATACCCAGTTCAGTTGTTTGCTTTAGTGAAATTTTCCCCCATGTGCAAACTTCACATGAAAGGAAGGTCTTGAATGCTGCCTTGGTATGTTTGTTTGCCTCTGTGCTTTGTAACACATCAAAATAGCCAGGTGCTTATTCCACAATGAAATGATTTATATAGTGAACTAAAATATTTGCCAGCAGTAATTGCTTGCAACTGTGGGACAGAACAAAACAGGAGAGCACCATCAGGCTCCTGGCGTTAGTCCAGCTACTTGGATTCCTCCTTTGACGTGAGTGGGTCTCACTTTATCCTTGTGCATCTTGCAGCAGAGCTGCAAAATTACGTTACAGCCAGAGCCTTTGGAAACAAAAGATTCCTCCTGTAACTTGAGGGTTTTTTCTCAGTTATTGTAGGAGTCAGGGAAGAAGCGAGCAGTTGGGATTTGCAGTTAGTAGTGATGGAGGTTGACTTAATATAGGAAACATTGCCTTAAATGTAACAGTTATGGTCTCCAACTGTAAAATTTGTGAATTTGAAACATTAAGTTTGATTTCATACACTGTCTATAGGACACTTAGGAGGAAGAAGCTATGAAAGAGTGGTAAATGAAAGTTTCGTGTGCACACGCTTAGGATAAATCAGAGTTGGACCATACTTAGTTATTTCTGTTTGCTAAATCAGGCAGCAAAGTAGGCACTTTCAGGTGGAGAAAACGTGCCATTCAAAGAAGTGGTATGAACTTGCTTAAGTGTCAGGGCTGACCTCTGAAATTCTAAGTTAGTAAGTCAAGAATTAACTGGTTTTGGTTTCGATGACTATAAATTCTTCCTCTTTTTCATATAAATCAAACCTTTAAAATTAAGGACATGTTAAATCGGTTAATTAAATGCAAAATGTATAAAAACTAACTAGTAGTGGGAATATTTAGTAAAAGCAGCAAAATTGCTAATAATTAAATCTAAATGCTACATGTAGAAAGCTGGATTTACTATCAGTGTGTCTCTTCCCCGTGGTGTGTTCAGCACCGTGGGTGAGGCAATTCAGAACTTGCTTGTCGCTAGCACGGTCAGTGAGATTGAGAGATGGCTCTTAAGAGAAACTTTTCCTGAAAAAAGGGGCCTAATAAATGGTTTAAAAGTAATGAGTGGTTTGGGACTGTTCTCAAAGGGCTAGTTTACTTAAGTAACACTTCTGTAATTTTCTTACTTTTTTTTTGTAGGCATGCCTCCCATTCGGGACTTGGTGAGCCACTCCCCTAACCAGTCAGGTTAGCTATTTAAATCTCACCTTTTTTTTTTGCACTATGTGTGTTTGTAGTAGTTACATGTTTCGCACAATTTTGTCTGATTTCTTTTTTTTTTAATTTTTTTTATTCTTTGGCTTATGTTTTTCAATAGCATGTGCTGTGTGAATGACTGACTTAAGTATACTTTCTGTGTGCCGTTACATACTACATTTGGTTAAACATTTTTAATTTTCTAAAATAACATCAGAATTCATACCAAAACAGATGCTTCAACTATGTGGCACCTTAGCTTTAAAATACTGTCTTTTTTTTACCTTTATGCTTATATGTTAAATTGCCTTTTCGTGGTATTAAATTGAATAATCTGTGCAAGCCTGTGCTTTATATCGGAGACATTTCACAGCACTGTGGAGGAAATCATGTCTGGGGGCCTTTCTATTTTGAATGCTGAGTTTATGCTGGGGTAGCACTACATGGAGGCCTACAGCTGTGTGTGTTGCTTACTGGATATGATTGTGAAGAACACTTGTTATTTATTTTTAAGTGATATTTTGGAGCGAATGTGCTGTGTGAGGACTTGGGGACGTGCTGTACGAAATGCTCTGGAGTAATGCAGATAGTGCTGTAGGATGGTTTGTACTGGCTCTGTTTCTGGCTGTGCTATGTGCCCGTCGGGCTGCTGTGGGCACAGAGCTTAGGAGAACGTTTCATGTTGCATCTCTTCTGTTTACCTTGAAGACTGCTCTCAAAGGGGTGAAGTTAATCCTCCTCTCCTCTTCCTTCCCCTCTCTTCCCTTGTGTTGAATTTGGCCACTTAGCGAGTCAGTGCAGCTTCTTTGTGTGATGGAAAACTAACCTGAGGGTTCATCTTTTTCCCCGTGGCTCAGCGAGCTGTCCTGACTCACTGCAGTGCTGCAGGGGTGTCAGGGCCAGAGCCCTGCTGGGACGGGGGAGAGGGGAGAGAGAGCGTGCAGGACGGTCCCTTTTAGGAGAGCCACCAGTTGTGCTGGGTTAGGTGCAGAGGGACGCTGTACCCGTGTCCTGGCAGCTTTCCTGTCCTGCATTCACAGTCAGGAAACCATTGCGGAGGCAGACAGCTACATCTACTAATTCTTGGGTTGGAGTACTTCAAGAAGACACAAACAGACTTCAGGACTTTTTTCTCTACCACAGAGAAACAGATACGTGGTGTTAACAAACAGGTTTTACTTTTCTGGTTTTGTCATTTTGTAATAAAGGTGCTTTTTAGCTTGTTTATTAAAATGCATTTTTTCATGAGGACCGAAGGTACAATAATTGGGAAGGTATAGTATTCACAGTCTGTGGGTACCAGTATGTACTGGAACTGGAAAAGGAGACAGAGATACAGATATTTCTTAATTTATATTTCTCAATCCTACTGTTTAGTTTAGACCATGTGATGGTACTTTAAAACAAACAAACTACTTCAGAAAATACATAGGGTTTCCTGCAAACATTTCCTGTAGGGGTACCTCATAGCTAGAAAACATTAAATTATTGAATTACAAATTATTGAAAAAATCTTAGCAGTTTACTGAATTTTAAGAAACTCAGGTTTGTGTAAATTTTTTTTTCTCCAGGATTTAAGCAGCAAAAGTTCAGTTGCAGCTTCTAAATAGTTTGGGGGAAAAAAACAAGAGTAGGCTGTTATTGGCTCGTTTTGCTGTGCACCAAATTTAATATGTTGTCAGCTGTAATTTTTTTATTTTGAGGGTGTTTTTCTGATTTTTCACATCTGGCAGATACCAGAAATAATACCTTGCTTATTCCGTATTTGTATACTTAATCTCAGAAGTTCGTGGGTTGTGGAGATTCAGATAGGAATATTTCAGAACAGTGGCTCGTACTAGAAATCACTAACGCACATTTATGTCCAGGAAAAAGACTGTTAGTCAAGGTAGTTTTGTGTGTAATGGGATAAAATTCTGGATGACTGGAAATTAATCATTATATGCTGTTCGTGTATTGGCTCGTTACAAACTGTGTATCGCATCTAGATTAATATAATAGAATTTTAACACAAGTTTTCTTTTTATGTAGTCTATTGTTGTGCAAATTAGGGTTTGTTTACTGTTTCACTCTGGCTTGTAGTCATAACCTGTATCTCTTTCTCAACACCGAATTCAGGCTGTTTGCCATCTGTATACTTCAGTGTTGTTTTTAAAATTGATCATGTTATTGGGATGATGTTTATGTAATCAAGATTTTGTTTTGTTAGGGCAGCTTTTCATGCTGTTGATTCTGTCGTTTGTGAGAGTGCAGACAACTCTTAACTTTTATAGTCTTTTAATACAGGTTAAGTGTCTTTTTTTAAAATATCAGTGTGAGATTTGAAATCTTGGGTTTTGTTGGACAATTCCTTACATACTACAGTGTTTTTTCTAGTAACACATTAATAGGTGGCTCTGGGTTATGTTCAGCTGAACGAATGTCTTCCAGTTCTCCCACGGGTGCTGTGTGGTTCTCTGCCTCAAGACTGTGGAGCTGCCAGGCACTTCTAACTATTACAGTGCTGTTTCTACCTGCCACAGGTCTCTTCCCATTACTCCCTGTTCCAAAGTGCTGTGCCAGCACCCTTGTTTCTCGTGTTGTAATTCCTATGTGAAGCTTAACTGATTGCTTCGATGCTCTCAAGCTTCCATCATGCTGGTTGCTGGAGGAGCAGTGGGTGATCCCTGCTCTGTGCTGCTCCAGGCTCTGTACTCGTGGAGGCAGGGTCTTTGGCTAGATTCTTTTTCACTGTAGGGTGAATAATGTTGATATTGATTAAAAATGATTTAAGAATAGACCAAAACTTGTTGCGCATCAGTGTAATACTCAGTAAACTGTCCATAGTAACTTAAATGTAAGCTTTTTTGTTTCTTCCTGTTTCCTTGAAGATCAAGATCATAAATTCAAATAATGCAGTATTTTAAATTTTGTTAGTCTGATTTAAAAATGTGGAATCTTCTGCTTGTCATGGTGTTCTCAAATTCCTTTTGAGAGATGGAAGCACTGAAACAAGGTCTCTTTTTAAATCTGCATCAACTGTGCTTCTCTTCAGATTGGTCGGTCATGCTTACACACGATAAACCACACCAGCCTTTTTTGCAGTTGAGTTGG